ACTTAGATCACTTACCCATTTTTATAAGATTTTTTATATAAGCTGTATATAATAAACTTTTTTATTACTATTGAGCTTGAGAGTTCTTTAAGTATTCTAGACACAAGTACTTTATCAGATATATGATTTTACAAACATTTTTTCCTAGTTCATGGTTCACCTATTGTTTCTTTACTACTGTCACTGTAGTGATTTTTAACATTATTTTCCTGTAGACTATGCCTTTTGACATTTTATCTAAGAAAGAATCAATTAACTTAAAGTCATAGAGATTTCTCCTATGTTTTCTTAGAGAATATTTGCAATTTTAAGTTTTAAATTTAGGACTATGGTTCATTATGAGCGAATTTTATTTATTGTGTAGATTAAAATACAAGATTTAGTACATGGATATCTGCTTGTACTGATTTTTCAATTGAACTGTTTTTGTGCCTTTGCAAAACTTTATATATGGTTGGTTGTATTTTTAAAATTCATTCCTCTCTATTGGTCTAGTTATCTATATTTAGACCAATAGCCATCAATTTTATTTACTATAGTTACATAAAATGTCTTAAGATATGTAGTGTCATTATTTTTACTTTGTTCTTTTTCAGAGAACACTCTTGGTTGTTGCATTTACGTATGAAGTTTAGAATCAGTTTTGCAATTTCTACAAAATGTCTGATAGGGTTTTGAATATAGTCATAATAAATCTATAGATTAATTTGGGGTCAGTTGCAATCCTGATAATATTGTATCTTCCAGCCTGTGGACACAGTATATCTCAAACTTTACCCACCACCTCAACTATTCTCATTAGAAAGCTGTATTGGGATATCTTCAAGACTAATATTCCAGGTCTGATGATATAAAGATCATACCATCTGATCTTTTTAAATTGATTTTCACATGATCAATGTTAAAAAAAAATACAAGCATCTTCTTGATAATCTTATTGAAAAAATTTAGATACAGTTCCTCCAAAGATATTAAATCATGACAAAATTTTACACACATACATATATATGTATATATAATTGTGCTTATAATCAATTGCAAATAATAACAGATCTTATTATACACATTTTATCTCCCCTATACTTTATATTTTTATTGATATAAGCATATAGGTACATATTTCATAAAGCATCTAAAAGCAGCATAAAATATAGGTTTCTATAATTTTTAAAATCTTTTATTTTGATGTTTACTAATATTCCATAAGCTTTAACATATATGTGTATAATTACACTAATATAATTAGTCTTAAAATCATTTAGACTGGTTGTTTGACATTATTATTGAATGACAATGTTATTGGTAATGTGAAATATAAACACCTCAAATAATTTTATTGCTATTGACAAATGTCTCCTCTGTCAAATTGATCATGATATTAAGTGCTCTACTAGTTGATTATATCTGAAGAGGGTCCTTGTGTATTTATTAAAATATTGGAAATTTGACTGTTTATAACTTTTATTATTGATAGTGTCCCTCATTTATACCAAGCTAAAGTTTGGTGGCTAATTTAATTAGAAATTAATATGTGATAAAATGATTTTAATTTCCTTTGAATTTATATCCAAAGGTGAATAGAATTTACCTCTCTCTTTTCTTCATCAAATCCCTTGCTATACTGGGAAGCAGGCTTTAGATTTCTTTGCTCTCATTCTTTCAATGAGACTCATAAATAAAACATATGCTCTTCATCTATTAAACATGTTAAGTTATGGGTGAAATGTCATGTTTTAAACTGAAATTATCCCTCACCAACTTATGACTTGTTAATTATAAAGGGAAATATTTCTGTAGAAATTTAAGTTTCTTTAAAATAAAGATATCTGGCAGACACTGTTTTAAACAAGATACCAAATTTAACACCAGCAAGAGTGGAATATACTGCCATTATCACTCACTCTGTATGCATGGAGTGAAAAACATCACTTGTATTGTCTCCCTCCCAAAAAGTATTAGCTAAATCTAATCATGGGGAAAAACATGCCTAATTCACATGAAGAAATTCTACAAAACATCTGGTCTGAACTCCCCTAATATAAATGTCATGAATGACAAAATGGCTGGCAAACTGTTCCAGATTAAAGAAGACTAAAGAGATGTAGCAAGTAAATAATGTATGAGACTTCATTGTGTGTGTATGTGTGTGTGTGTGTGTGTGTGTGTGCTTGCGCATGTGCACCTGTGCGCACTTAGTTGTATCTGACTCTGCAACCCCCTGGACTGTAGCCCATAGGTTCCTCTGTCCATGGGATTTTCCAGGCAAGAATACTGGAGCTGGTTGACATTTTCTACTCCAGGTGGTCTTCCCAGCCCAGGAATTGAACCTGCATCTCTTGCTCTCCTGCGTTGGCAGGATGATTCTTTATCACTGCACCAACTGGGAAGCCCTTGATTAGATGCTGAATTTAAAAATAAAATCAGAAGAACTATAAGGCAACTGGCTCTGATTCTTATTTATGACACCTAAGAGTACCTTAATCTCCTGGGGAAGTATGAGCCACCGAACTCCAGGGAGATTGTCTAAAAGTACTGCACTGGAAGCATCATACTGCTGTGTGCTGGAACTGGCACTCGAATGTAGTTTACTGGGCTGAAGTGCTCTTTGGAAAAACAAGCTGAAAAAATGATCCAAACGAGGAACATTCTCAACCTGGCAAAAGGCACTGAAAAAAAAGAGCTGTAATGTTAGAACAACACATGCAAATGGCGGTCATTGCTTGTACAAGCCTAAAGGGACTGGATCTTGCCCAACTACATAGGTTCTCTTCCTTACTCCTCCCTTAATGAGAATTATATAGCCATAAGGTAACTGAAAAAATAAAATAAAATAAAATAAAATCAGTGAAGCATCTTATTTGAACATTTGGGAAAATTCTCATTAGGGCAAATATTATTGTATCAATTCTTGAGTGTAAAAAGTCAAATTCATGAGTGGCTATCTAGGAGAATGCTATTGTTTTTAAAGAGAAACACACTGAAGTATTCAGAACGAAATTCATGGTGATTAGAAGTACTATAAAATAATTCATCAACTATAGCATAAACACACAAACATATACACAAATATAGCAAAATGTTAACACTTTGTGATTAAAGTAGACAACTTCTCTTAGAATGTAATAAAAATGAATATTAATGATGAAATAAAGATACATCTAAGAAAAGAAAAATGACAGTATCATCACAAAGTTAAAAAGTATATTCCACCTGGCAAGAATATCCTTGTAAATTTTAATTAGATAACAGCATAGTAATAATAAAGATTAATCAATTATTTTCCCTATGGTTTTATACTTGAGGTTCAATTTAGACACTTGAGATAGCTTTCAACTCAAGTATAAGCTTTAATTTATTTTTGGAGTATTATTAGTTTATATATTGCATATTGTTGTTTGAAGCTAATAATTCTGGGGGTGGATTCGGAGCTCAGGCTTCTTGCTTCCCATGTAGCATCCATCCACTGGGCTTTTCATGTAGGCCTTAGTAGCTTGTGGGCTTCCAAGGTGGCACAGAGGTAAGGAATCTACCTGTCAAGGCAGGAGATACAAGAAATGTGGGTTGGATTCCTAGGTTGAGAAGATCCCTTGAAGAAAGAAATGGCACCCCACTCCAACATTCTAGCCTGGAAAATTCCATGGGCAGAGGAGCCTGGCTGCCTTCAGTTCGTGGGATCACAAAGAGTTGGACACAACTGAGTGACTGAGCATGAAGCACAGTTAGCAGGTAGAAAAGAAAGAGTAGGGGTGAGGCATAGTCACATCATAAACGTTGGTGTGCTAGCAACACACATCCGCTGACGTGTGTCATGATGTTAGTATGTGACTTGACCCCGTGTTCAGAAAAATGAGTGGAGATATTTCTAGTGAAGGGTTGTCATGTGTATCACAGAAGCCAAGATGAAATAAATCATTTCTGAGATTGCATGACCTGGAAAAACTCACCCAATAGGAATAGAAAATCTGAATGGAACTAAACTACTAAAAATGTGCTGAATTGTTACATGAAAGAAAACCTAAATAATTGAGCCTAGATGTTTATACAGATGAGATTTCTAAACATTCCAGAAATAGCTCCATTATTTAACAAGTTATACCAGTAGTTAGAAAAGAAGGAAAAGAAAAGAAACATTGAAGAGCTCAATTTTAAGGTTAACTGGCCTTAAAATTAACTGACCTCTTCAGAGGAGCCTGAAGAGCTATAGTTTATGGGGGTCACAAAGAGTCAAACATGACTGAGTGATTAACACACAGCACTGACCATATGAAAAGAAATATTATAGGAAATTATAATCATAGACACAGCGAGCTAAATATAATATTAGCAATGTACAACACTTATGGTTATAAATATATATACAGATGTTAATTAAATACACATAAATATTCCATATTCAAATAAACAGTGTATATATTGTCAGAAACTTAGTGCATCTTTGCTCTCCTAAGCTTATAGACATGTGTGAGTGCATGAATGCTAAGTTGCCTCAGCTGTGTCCAACACTTTGCCACTCCATGGATGATAGCCCACCAGGCCCCTGTCCATTGGATTCTCCAGGCAAGATTACTAGAGTGGGTTGCCATTTCCTCCTCCAGGGTATCTTCCTGACCCAGGGATTGAACCCTCCTCTTTGTGTCTCCTGCATTGGCAAGGCAGTTCTTTACCACTAGATCCACCTAGAAAGACATGTGTTGTAAAATATTTCTCTCTCTTTTTTTGATTACTTAATTCACAACAGAAAGAACAACCATAATTCCTGTTCAATAGGATACAGGTATCTCAGAGGAAGCTGTGTTTGTGTTTATATGATTTTGAATATCATACAAACTAAGAAATGCAAGATGCCAGAAACAATTACTGACCTTTTATGAATTATATTTTATTTGGATTATCAATTTAGGTTCAATCATTTCTAGAAGGTTTGCCTAATGTTTGGAATAATAGACTGGTACATATTATTTCATGCTTTAAACATGTTTCATAATTCTTTTAATGTTTAGGTTGCTTGGAATTAAAGGAAGAAACCATTGAAAACCTTCTTGCAGCTGCTTGCCTTCTTCAGCTTCCTCAAGTAGTGGAAGTGTGTTGCCATTTCCTCATGAAGCTCTTGCATCCATCAAACTGTTTAGGAATCCGAGCATTTGCAGATGCTCAAGGATGCATTGAATTAATGAAGGTGGCCCACAGCTACACGATGGTAAGGAAATGTAATGTTTTAATAATAGCAACATAGCTGTATTGTCAGAGGTTAAAATAATTACAGTCATTGCAATCAAAATTAAAACTTAAAATTAGTTTTGAATCACTGGAACAGTTTTATCATGAGACACAATGTACTGTATAGTATTTAAGAACCTCAAAGTAGAAAAGACATCACATAATGGTCTTTATTATGACTCCATTTACACTTTATAGATGATATAGATATAGATATTGACTACTTTTGATTTTAAATGATTCTTAAAATAATTTTTTCCTTAATTTCTCCTTGGGACATCTATCTTTTACATCTCCTTCCACAACTGCCTTTTCCCCTCTTTTCTTTCTAGTTAAGAGCTAACAGATTATGCCACAAAAATTTTTCTTTTGCATTTTTCAAACAACTTCCCTACCATGGACTCGGGTTTGTGCATGCTAAGTTGCTTCAGTCATATCTGACTCTCTGCGACTCTGTGGACTGTAGCCCATCAGGCTTCTCTGTCCGTGGGGTTTCTCCAGGCAAGAATACTGGAGTGGGTCGCCATGCCCTCCTCCAGGAGATCTTCCCTACCTAGGAACTGAAGCTGCGTCTCTTAAGTCTCCTGCACTGGCAGGAATGTTCTTTACCACTAGCACCACCTGGAAAGCCCATGGACTGAGGTATATTAACCAACATTCAGTGCTGAAATCCTACCCCAAACGTGATGGTGTTTGGAGATGGAGGCTTTGGAGGTGAGGTCATCATAGCAGACCCCTCAGGATGCCCTTATGAGAAGAGACACAGGAGAATTTGCTTCCCCTCTCTCTCTTTCATGTGAGGACACAGTGAGAAGATCGCCGTCTGACAGCTCAGAAGAGAGTCTTTAGGGAACCCAGTAAGACTATATTTTAAATATTGGACTTTTCAGCCTTCAAAACAATAAGAAATAAATTCCTGTTGTCTCAGCCACCTAGTCTGTGGTATTTTGTTATGGCAGCCTGAGCTATCTAGTACACTGTTTATCATAGCATGATACGTTAGGTATGCATTTGTCTGTATGATTTATGGAGAAAAAAGAATCGTGATAGTATATTTTAAAGTATTTATTGGGATAGTGAATATTGGATTTCAGAATTCCTGGGAACTTTTATACTAAAAGGGAAAATATTTAGATACATAAATCAAATGTTTTTATTTTTTTGGTAAATTTGTCTTTCTGTACCATTTTTCATAAAAGGTTTAAATTGATTGAGTATCAGTCAGTAAATAGTCTTGTAATACTATAAGCCTATTTTATATTTTTCTCTTTGATTTCTTGCTGTATGTGTAGACATATTATATATGTAGATATTTTAACAGAAGGATTAAAACTCATTTAAGGTGTACACTTTAAATGGGTGAACTTTGTAGTATGTTCTTTAAATGTTATTTTCATTCTAAAATTGAATAATCAGTTAGAAAATTTTCATACTGATCATTTTATATCCTAGAAAAAAATCATTCTAAAAAAGTGCTTAATACAGTACCTAGAATATAGCAAGCACTGTATAAAATGCTAACAACTTTTACTGTTATTATTAATATTATTAATGATTTAATTTTTATTATTGAAACAACCAACTCTAAAGCATAGACCTATCCCTTTGCAACTCAAGGGAATAATTTATATGAAATAAATCTCATTAAGCCTTATAGTTGCTATTTATTTAGAAACTTTTATTGTGAGATTTAGGCACCTTTTCAATTACTAATGACAATCAGACATTTGAGTCTCCTCATTGTTATTCTTACACAGACTCTCAATATTATTTTAATTTTCTTCTTTAATCCTTTAAGCAGATTAGCAAATTAAATAAAATGTATAAATAAAAGAAGGAGATGCATGCTTTGTACATCTATTGTCAAATTCTTTTCTTGAAATATTCCATGACAGGGCACAGTACTACTATTCAAATTATATGAACCATATAAAATTAATGTAAACAAATACTTCATCAACCAAAATATCAAAACCCAACTGCTGTCATTTAATTATGCACATTTCATTACACTTCGGAGTTCCTGGCTTAGCTAAGTCAAAGAACAATATGCCTCCATATCCATTGGGATAATGGTCCCTTCTGGTCTGGTTTGAAATTATTAATTTAATAATAAAAATGTTTTCCTTGCAGCTGCTTGAACTGATCTGGGATTTATCACACAATAGTATCAATATAGTTTTTAAACACATTAAAAAATATTCTCTATAGTAAACTATACATGTAAAACAGAAATATAGGGATGTCCTATCTAAGACACTCAACATTCTAAACAACTCTATCTTATTTTTGAGACTATGGATTGATCATGTGTTGTGTTATGCTTGTAAAAATTAAAATGATTTCAAATTCTGTTGGAAACATGAAACTCCAGTGCTCTCCAGATGCTCATGGTTTACTCTTTTACTGGAAAACATTTTCTGACCAGTTGTCTTCCTAGAGTATAATTTTCTCTTAGTTCTAATGCTTTAAAATGAGTGCCTCTGATATTATAATTTTTACCATATATTAGCCTCTGATCTGTGTTTAATTTTGCATATCTCCTCATTTAATCTATTTAATCTGTGCTTCAAGAACAAATTTATTAAGTTTTTTTTTTTTTTTCTTCTTTTTAACTCCATCAGTAGCAAAACATCTCAGGGTTTCTACTGAGTAAACTCTGTTACTGAATTTAAAAACATCTCAGGGTTTCTACTGAGTAAACTCTGTTACTGAATTAATATATTTATTGGCTCTAAATATGACTTCATTGCTTAGTTTACACATGGAATTCTTTAATTTTCAATTTCCTTGCCAAGATATTTTAGATAAGAACTTGATCTTACAACATTCAGATCTTAAATTGCTGTCTGTATACCTTTGCTTTTTATATATTTTGCTGTTTCCTTTGGAAATTTCACTTATTTGAATTCAGCTATTGATTTTGTGTGATTCCAAAATCTTTCAGGGAAACTGACCCTGCTTGGCAGTGGTTCATGTGTGAAATATTGGAAAATTTTGATTGTGAGCTCAATATTAGACAGAAGTGTGAAATAAATTCTGAAACATTAATTTACATTTTGGGTGCATGAATATACAGATATCAACAAGAAAATTGAAGGAAATAGTTTCTCTTACTCTATTAGAATTCATTATGAAACCTGTTGTTAATTCTGGACATCTCATTTTAAAAACATTAGAGAGCAACAAACAGAAGTAGATGATTTCATTGCTTAGTTTACACATGGAATTCTTTAATTTTCAATTTCCTTGCCAAGATATTTTAGATAAGAACTTGATCTTACAACATTCAGATCTTAACTTGCTGTCTGTATACCTTTGCTTTTTATATATTTTGCTGTTTCCTTTGGAAATTTCACTTATTTGAATTCAGCTATTGATTTTGTGTGATTCCAAAATCTTTCAGGGAAACTGACCCTGCTTGGCAGTGGTTCATGTGTGAAATATTGGAAAATTTTGATTGTGAGCTCAATATTAGACAGAAGTGTGAAATAAATTCTGAAACATTAATTTACATTTTGGGTGCATGAATATACAGATATCAACAAGAAAATTGAAGGAAATAGTTTCTCTTACTCTATTAGAATTCATTATGAAACCTGTTGTTAATTCTGGACATCTCATTTTAAAAACATTAGAGAGCAACAAACAGAAGTAGATGAAAATTATAAGAATAGCAAATATTTAATAATCATGAAATATGAAGAAAAGTTGAAAAGTTTTGATCTCTATGACTGAATAATATCAGAACATGGAAATAGATATCTTTGTGTATTTGATAGAATGAATTTTTGTTTGAAAAAACAGTCTGTATTTTCTCATCCTGTTTTTAATTTTAGTAGTATAAACTTCTTTTCAATTTCAATATCATAGGAAAGAATAATATTGGAATTGAAGTGCTTTGTGTGATGATAGATGAAGGGTCTGGAGTCTCCTTCCATCTTCTGATTTTTCTTTCTCTGCTCGCTTGTGTATTTCTACTAATGACCAACATCACTTCCTACTAAGGTCAGCTCTGCCTTTAGAGGAGACTCCCGGATCTTCTTTTTTAAGAAATCCTCTCTCCATATGGTTCTGGGTTAGACTTTGACAATTAAAAGCATTCATGCAAGGTATAGAAAGTGGAAATGAAGGAGAATCCATTATTTCTGCACAGGTGGATGCAGGCAGATACATGGACAAATGGAAACTTGAAGTAACTTCTAAGTGAGCACTTGAAAGTAATTGGCTTCAGTGCTGTAGAGTGAGACAGTTGATTGGAGATTTCTGGAGGTTCTTGAGGACTTCAGTGCCTTTGTAGAGTACTTGTTAGGACAGTTCATATTGAGCAGAAATAGAAATCATTAGCAAAAAGTTCTCTGACCTTCACTTCCACAGCTCTTTCGATAGCTATCTAGGTCTCCAATTCCCTATCCAAAATCTATTTTACATAGAACACATGGTTTGTTTTTCTAATTCAACAATGTCTTAAACACATACCCCAAAATAGTAGATTTAAACTCCACATTTTGATAGAAGTGATTCTCCCCACCTAACTTCTGAACAACTGCCTGGGAATTTTTCCTAAAATGGAATTAATTGCACCACTTCTCAATATGTCCATGAATTCCTTTCACTTATTCTTTACTCATGATAGTTCTTTTATCTGGAATCCCTGGTTTCTAATTCTAAATAACCACCCTCACTTCCCAGTTTAAGTTCATCCATGCCTAAGAAATATTTTAAAATTTTTCATGGCATTCTCTGTCTTATTTAAATTCTTAGTATTCCTTTTGTTAGCACTATATGGTGTCACCATACATTTTCCTATGCAATTAATTATCCCTTATGTCTTTATGACTGATCTTCACAACTATATTACAAATTCTTTGTGATTGAGAACAGGTCTTTCCACTGAGATTTGTTTTTCCCAACAAATATCCATTGAGATTTGTATGTACTTGCATGTGTAATATATTAACTAATTCCTATAGTTCCCAG